TTTATTTGGGGTGCTGTTTTTTTGAGGGATGCCTTCTCCAAGCTTCATTCTAAGGCCAGGTACTAAGTCTGGGTTGGATTTCCGGTCCTACTAGGGTGTTTAGCTGAGCGACTCAAACCAGAACAAGGGGGCTTTATGGGCTAGATTCGGGGCTGGCGGCCTAAATGGTAGTTTCCATAACTCGGTCGGGGGACCCCAATGTAGACCCCAAAATACTATAATCCTTGAATCTATGGGGACCCCCCCAAATTGTACCCCTAATTTTTAGAAAGCCCCAAATCATGTATCAGGCTCTGGGTTGAAGCCATGTCGGATGCCGGGCTGAGGGGTGTGCTGAGATTCAGGGTTGGAGGTTGGGGTCCCACATAAAGTTTCAGGTTAGGAGCTCCCGTTTAGAAAGTGCCCCACAGGCCTGGTTCAGGGCCCAGGGTCCTATACGGAGCTGCGCTCTGGATTTCAGGGTCTTACTTCGGATGTCAAAAGTAAGCATCGTGGGGTTCAGGAACTATTTTCGGGGAACACATCCCGGAACACAAAGAATGGCCTTTGTTATGGTTTGTTGGGTAAATGGACCGGTCAGCAAAGGCTCAGGAGCTGTCCAAGAAGACGCGAGTTGCAATCACCAGCTGGCCTTGCATGCTGGCATGGTTGCTGCATCTCTCCGTTGGCATGGGATAACCCAACAATGGATATGAGATGACACATGATGATGCTTAGTCACATGCGTAAATACGTATTGTCGTCCTAGTTCGTCGTTCATGTTAAGCGGCTTGCGGCCTGCTTACATGCCCAGGAGTCGCAAGATCCCAAGCGCATCCAGACGAGTCTGGTCAAGAGCCAGTCCATCCAGAGTGGCATGGCACCCCATAACAGGAAGATTGTAGAGGATTATTTGAGGTGAGGCGTTTGCTTTACAGGACTGTCACCAATCTTTTGGGGCATGGTGAATGTAAGATATTGCGAGGCAACAGCGCAGCATGCAGGGATTTCATACGGAGAACGCGATCGGTCACGGGTCGTTACATCCTTTCAGTTAAGTTACGGAGCGAACCGGTGCCAGTAGGCGTGTGAATGGCTTGCTGACTAAGCCAATCAAACAGGCTTGTTAGTGGTCCTCATTGGGCTCGGTCAGCCCTGTACCTTGCAAAACATCGGAGGGATGGGGTTGATTGCCCGCTAGATGCCGCAAGTATTCTTGTGATCAAAAGACTTGTTCTGTACTTGTTACCTTTCTTCTTGGTTTTGCTGTGAGTCTTTGACTTCATATCGTTCTCCTCAAGGCCTGAGAACCAAACAGCTCCCAACCACGCTAAAACTGTAAAACTGAAACCCCAAACCCTGACCCGTGGCACTGCTGAAGGAATTCTCTACCTCATCGATGCAGGAGATATGGACAAGTGGCCGCTCACATGCAACTGCAGAACCCTGACATCACCAAGGCCTTGAAACCATTACGCCCGCAACATCTGAAGCATGAAGCTTCTTCTCAAACCTAGAGCCCCAAACCTAAATCCTGATCACAGACTGTTCCGTAGGTCCTATCGGGTCTTTACAGAGAAGTTTCCACCAGCCCAGTTCAAATCCTTACACAAGCAGAGCGCCGAGATCTGCAAATCCCCACATCAGGAACCCAGTGAACTTGGCCACTGCATGGCATCGCCTCGCCAAGTTTTCGCGCAACGAGACGCAGGAAGGGAAGGGAGGGGCGCCTCGCCAGGGCATGGTTTTGGATTGAGGTGTGCTGCCTAGGGGTCTAGTCTTCAGCGTATACTGGACGATCCTCAGCGAAGCTCCGCAGGATTCCAGGATTTCTCAGACATCCAGCTCCATGACAAAACTTCACACCACTCTCCTTTCCGTCTTTCAAGGCAAGCCCTAAGCTTGAAAGCCGAAAGACCCAAACAGTGACATCAAGCCCTCAACCCTAAGCTAGACGCGAAACCTTAAACATCTCTCTACAGGACGCGCAGACCGAGCAGTCAGAGCGGGATCTCCAAGTCGGAGACCCCGGAAAAAGCAGAACTGCTAGGACCACTTACCTTACGAAAGTCTTTCGAGCCTCCCACTGGAGGCGCCTACCTTTTTGAAATGATACCCCTCATGGGCAGCAAGTATCTGGCTAGTCTTCGCACTAATGGTTTTCTTCTGGAGTTTGGCGGCTATTCCCGTTGGCTATTGTCAGCGTTTATGATCACGATTGCCAGGGTGACAATGATGATCATTGTCATTGTCGCTACTACAACTATGTTTGGTGCCCCACTAAATGAGGTATAGTCTAAAGTCCTAGTATCTCACTTCATAACCCCTATGATACTCCCCTGTATAATCCCTTATAGAACTGAACCCCCCTTTAAGGAATTAAGATTATAGCTCAAAGGCTAGAGGGTTGCTTTGAGCGTGCTGGATCATTGAAGAGGCGCTGCAAATTACTGGGATAGTTTCCCATGATCTTTGTTTAGACACGCGGGACCTGTGGAACACTGTAATTGCCTGACTATGTAGTGCTGCTTCAAGCAGTTTCTTGCTGATGTTCTGCTTTGATAGAGTTGGTGGCTTGCAAAGGTTTACCTTGCAGTCTCTTTTCAAGCACGCAGCCTGAATCCTTGGACCTATCAAGGTGCGTCTGCACGTCTAACTTTGGGTACCTGCCAAACTTCCATACTCCGCCAATAGGAGGCTCTTCTGTGTAGGCACTTGATAAGAAAAATTCTTTGACACATCCCTCTGAGGTTACCTGGCAGTGCTATGCCATTATCAATCCTAAAACCCATAAAGCCCCCAGCCCTTGCTTGTTGGGCTGTACCAAGAGAAAATTGTTGTAAAGCTGGCGCGCAGCCTGGGCTCAGTGGACGGAGCCTAAAGGAAGATGCGAAACCTGCTCCTCAGCTGGATGTAGGGTTGAGGGTTTAGGGTTGCGGAGACGCTTGCTGTGTTGCAAATCACACTTTGTATGAAGACCCTGGGAAGTATGATGAGCTCAACGAAGACAAAAGCGTTAAGTTGAACTGCCATGGAGCTAAGGGCTGGCGCACTAGCATGCAGGGATCAGCATTGGGGTTGGTGGGGCCTTGTAAAGCCAGTCGGAGGTCTCAGACTGAAAGCCCAGAAGCACAGCATGATTCAGGTTCTCCTCCTCGAGAGCGTGGGGCATCCTTCCAGCCTTAGGAGGCGCAGGACGCCCAGGCTGAAGCAGCCAGCGATAGTTGTCGCAGTGTCGTGTTCTTTGCTGAGGCATAGTCAATTCTGTTTTGCCTCCAGCTTTCTGGTAACCCTTCCCTCATACAACCAGGCCATCGACATGCAGGGGCAGTGAGGCGACGACTGAAGACAGAGTGCGAAGTCAAGCCGTTGTCAGATAACTTGAAGACAGTCGTTGTTGTTTTCTAAAGCCTTGCAAGCAACAGCTACAGCCTGCAGCCTTTGCTGTAGCCCCAACCAGTCTAGCTATTCTGGAAGCCCGAATCACAACTTGAACAAATTTGCAATGGCACCCGTCAAAACCCCTAAGCCCTGAAATCTCACAATGAAAATCAATCACCATCCATCCATGTGAAAGCCTCCTAAGTTTGGTGCGTGCTTGAGCGGAGTTCTGAGCTTCGCCTGGCCGGGACCTCGTTTTAAAGAGAGCATACCACTGCATACCAGTCACAGATGGGAGTTTCTCAGAAAGTGGTATTCTTAAGATTCCCGGCCTGGTTGGGATTATGCAGGGGTCGTTGTAACACCAATTTCGAAATTTGCCTTCTCTTGCGAGGCAGGGCAGGTGGAGGCTGTGGGTTTCATTTTTGGAGAGGTGTTGAGGAGACTTTGCTCATGGCAGCGTTGGGCTTGCTTCGCGGTGGATGGTCTCTGAGGTTGTTCTGAGATTTGTCGGCTTCAGTCCCAAAGCCTTGTCCTCAATCCGACAACCTCGATGTTGCGGTGACCCCTACATAGACCCACAACGGACAACAATCGCGTAAACCATTCCTGTAGACTAGTGATCTAATGACCATAGCTGAATGACATTCCCATCCCCCTTCTCCCTCAGGCCAAAAATCTTCAACAAGTCCTCCTCGACAATGTCCCTGGAGAGCTGGCGCTTATCCAGGCAGGGCATCCGGCATAGCAGCATTGCTAAACGCAAGATGGAGATTGCCTGCACTTCAGGTGCGCGAGCCTGCAAAAGTTTTCTAGGATCTGGGCTGCTTAAGTGGTGCACTGTCCACGGGGGTGTTTGCCTTCTCCTATGCAGCAAGAAATGTGTATCTCAGCTGTCCCGCTGCAGTACTTCCACTGCCCGAATAGTCCCAGGCAACAGACGACGCATGCCGGAAACCATTGTCACCCTAGGGATATTTCGCTCTAAGCCACAATCCGCTTAAAAGATCGTGGAGAAGAAGGTCGGGCATGTGAAGTCAGCATTTTAGCAGGCTTCTTTGGGTTAAAGGAAGATGCAGCTTCAGCTGGCCCGAGACCCCGGAACCTCACTGCGACGCCCCAGCTCTTGCCTTGTGTCTGCCTGTCAGGACAGAGTTGCGGGATGTGCTTAACAAATATGAGCAGGCCGTGGAGAAGGATGCGTGCCCTCCCCCATTGATGAACCCAAGTTGAGTTCCTGGTTGTTGCAGGTTCTGGGTTTCGTAGAGCTGTGGAGATGTTGCAGGTATCAAGCTTACTAGCCTGGAGCTTCCGATTCAGATTACGGGTCTCAGGGTCAAGGTGATTCTGGGAGAGATCGAGGTGCGATTGGCGTACGCGTGGCCGCAGGCTTGCAGTAGGAGATAGATGCGGGCACGGTCAAACAAATCCAAACCATGTGGGCAAGCTGGAGAAATGCTCAGTGTTTGCATGTCCGCTGCCACAGGTTGGGAAAGTCTGCCGTAGTTGTTGTAAAGCGAATCCCTTGATCTCAGTTGTGGCAATACGTAGTAGTTTGGCGTCGGTTTCTAGGTGGTCCAACTCAGTCTAGTCATGGAAACAGCTAGTAGACACAGATTTTCGCGTGACGAATGGCGGCCATGAAGCCATTGAGGCAATTTCGGCCCTTCAAGCTGATTGGGAAAGAAACCCTGGCCGAGGGCAGTGAGGATAGCTTCCCCATTCGCCGTTTCACTTTCGAGTTGCCCGAGGCCGTGTCGCCAAAAGTGGATGTGGAATGAAACTTTCCTAGTCCGGAGGTCTGCAGCGCTTTCTTCCACGATTGTTCTTTCCTTTTTCCTGCTGCCGCTGCTGCTACAGCTGCTGCCGCTCACGCTGAGGTGCTGGAGCTGGCAGCGGCAGTGATGGTTAGGGGGGGCGGTGCGGTCACGGCGGCAGTTACGGTGGGGTTGGCTGTGGGGCGATGGCAGCAGCGGGGGTACTGACGGTTGTAGTAAGGTGTAGCATGCATCCCTGACTCGAGCAGGGCACCTCACTTCAGTCGCTTGGCTTTGACCTTGGCTCGGGCGATTTCGTGCAGGTGAGGCAGGGCTGGTTGCGAAACCTCTGTGTCGCAAGCTTCTGAACTCTGAGCAGCAGCAACCGGCATCCAGCTCAGAGCTTTAGCAGTACTACCAGCTCGTGCTCGTGGAACCTCTGAATCTACACCATTGCTGCATAGAGTTTTGCGCTTGAAAAGGAAATAATGACTCCATGCAAAACAGGAGCGCAAACTGCTCAGGCGGCCCCTGCAACCACCCGGGAAGTGCAGGCTTTTCCGTTCACCCTCAGGAAATTTGTGTCCTTAAACTCGGACACCAAAAAGGATCCACATCTTCGAGAAAGCAAAAGATAACTCTCAGAATCTTTGCTCCCTATGAAGCACATCGTTCTAGAATCCTCTTGTTTCTGGGGGAGCCTGGAGGCCGCCAGCTGGACGGGTGAGGTCCTACTCGCCTGCCTCACCTGCAGATCGGACAGGAAGCTTCGACCTCGTTGTGAAAATCTACAGAGGTGGCAGGTGCAAATCGTTGGGAATGGGGTTTGGATGTGCAGTGTCTTAAAAGTAAAGGCAAGTCGGGGGAATGGAACTATCAAGCATAAAGAGCGCAACTATTTGCTTCTTGAGAGGGGTGGGGATGCAAAACTGAAACGTGTAAGCCATCCATAAGCCTTTCTCGACCAGACTGTCTTCTCGGAGTGTTCAGACCTTGTAACTTTTTGCGAAGAGAAGCTACCCCAGGTGCTCTGGCCATCTGGATAGCTTGGAAGTTGGAGACTCTGCGATGATTTCCGGCCCTGCGCCTGTGCCATGGCTGGCTTTCACCTTGAAGCAGCAGAAGCATGTTGGCCTCATCGCCTTTGGTGTGGGCATCACGGAGGCTTTGCCAGTTGCGTGGTCACAGCTGCTGAAGCCGATCGACATCGTGGAGCGTGTGATCTTGCTCTGGGGCAACAAAACCTGGATGGACGTTTTCTGGCAGGAACAGTTGCAGGAGCTGGTGCAGCAGCACGCTGGTAGGTTTCAGGTGGTCCATGCATTGTCAAGAGAACATCGGGAAGGCTGCGTGCGCTCGCGGATAGACCAACCTCTGCTGGACACCACGTTTCAGGTGCCCCACAGGGGTTGGAAGCTGCATATTGCCAAAGATGGAGAGTAGGAAGGGGATCCAACCTCTTGTTGATGACACCCCCAAGCACCTCTGGCGCTTTGGTTGTAGTATGTTGCAGTCCCTTCTTGCTATGCTAATTGGCCTTGCTAGCTGGTAATGATAGATCCTTGATGCGCATTCTTTCTTGCCAGCTTCTTACCAGCTTCTTGCCACTGGCTAAACTTCTTCACTGCTACAAGTGACTTGTAACTAGCATGTCAGGCAGGTGGAAACAGGATGTTTAAGATGTGAAGGCACCACAGTCCTTACACAATTCGATGTTGTACTAACGCCATAGACTTTCAACTGCAATGTAACGCGGCGTGGCCATCGGAGGCATTCCCACGTAGTGCCGCCTTCCTTGTTGTCGGCACCAAGCAGATGAAGAAAGACTGCCTGTTCCGGTCAGTTGTGGCTGTGGGGAGCGTATGGTTTAGGAGTTCAGAGAGCGTTGGCAAATAGGATGCCGTAGTTAATGTGGAGCTGTTAACATACAAGTTGTCAAAACCTGAGAGAGGGTGCGCCTCATGACTTTGCAGATGCTGCAACCCTAAATGCCGGCAGGCTGGTAAATGTTGTTGTCCTTTCTGCAACCGTGAGGTCCCCCTTTCAGCACGCACGGAGTTCCCTTTGAGCCCTTGCAGCAAATTTCCAGGAGACACGGCGCTCATTGGCAGCATGCGGCTTCTCGTCCTCTCCGTTGCTGCAAATGCGGCTGAGGATGCCGTGGAACTGGCGCTGGTGAAAAAGGTGCGTTGGTGTGTACTTAGAAATTGCGCCATGTCGTTTTCTGAACTCCAGTATTCAGACTTTCAAAGCTCATTGGCTGCGAGGTACTACTTGCTGCAGCCTAGCAAGCTAGAAAGGAAGCTCCTGGGAGAGGATCTTCTGAAGCGAAGAGTCGCAGCTGTGCGAAAGGCGCGCCTGCCCCTAGGACCCTGGAATCCTTAGGACGCTGGCATTCAGGGTAGCAATAAAGAGAAGTTCTTCTGGATCATAGTAGAGTCTCCTTTCACTCGTGCACGACCTACCCGTATTCAGTGCAAGGAAAACGCGCAGGGGCCTCTTTTGTATGCACATCAGGTAGACATTGTCTTATCTTGCGAAGTTCAACAATCGCATAAGGTCCGAGACTAGACTGATTGAAGCTTAACGTTTGCATCTCGTCTTATGTGCTAGCGCGGTGCTGATTCGGGGACTTCATAGACCTCCTGCTTTGCAGAGGCTCGCGACGTGAACAAGGATTTTGTGCAGGCAGTGATTGAGGCCGCTGCAGTCACATCCTGTAGCAGATGCTCCTTGTTCCAGATCCCTGGTCAAATCATGTGTTGCGAGAGTCCTCAGAAAAGAGGTGCTGCTTGCCGAATCTCTGACAACTTGGGCCAAACTCCCCACTTTGGTGTCAGGACCTTCCAGACATCATGGCTGGCCCAGATGCAGCAATACCACCGCCGCGGCCCATAGCTGAGGCCGTGGGGGGTACGGTTGAGTTTTTTTTTGTTTTTACTTTTTTGACTTGTGGCTGCAATTCTGGGCATCGGGCTATGCCGTGTTTGGGTATGCAGGGACCGCTTAATTATAAGAAGCCGCCCTTTGGGGTAGGTTCTTCAGCCTATGACTTTGCCACTAGCTTGGCCTGGACAAGGCCAAATCTCAGCATGTTGCTTTGCACGTGTGTTTTCTTGTAGACTCCGCGACCCCAAGCGTTGCAAACACCACAGGGCCGGATTTCCATGACCCAAAGCCGCTTGTCATGCCGGGCTAGTCAACGACTCGCGCATGCTATCCAAGGATTTCTCTCCCACAGCACATGCTCACTTTGGAGTATCCAGCCCATGTTTTGCTATCTCAACTGTCCCATCATGGCTGCTACTACTATGATTCCGATTTCTGGTGTCCTCACCATGGGCCACCAATGCCAGTTTCGGAGCCTTGGGGACGGTGTCGATACGCTGCCCTCGAGCTCATACGGTCTGCGGCTCAGGCGCCGAAGGCCAGAGTGGCATAGATAATGCCGAAGCTGTGGGTGAGTCAGCGTGTGAAGCTCTGACACGGGCAATTCTCAGCTTCAGGCCTGATATGTCGAGTCATAGTTTAAGCTCTCAGTCTCCTTTACCACGTTTAGGCCCCTTTTTGAAACCTAAGATTATGCATAGATTCTGCTCTTGAGCGGTGCATCTCACACCGATGATTTTACTTTTAAGCGGTCCGCTATTATGCTCTTAGCGGTGTCGAGTATACTTTATGCCGGCACCAATCATACCCTTTCTTGGGGGGTGATTCTACTCCTATGTTTGGATGTTACCGTAGCAACCAGGCTTTTAAATAGGGGCCTGGGGAGCTGTCAAGGAGCCTGGCTGTTCCACCCTTAACTGCGCCCAATTAAGGCTATGATCACCGGCCGGCATAAGCGTGCAATTATCGCTGTCCCCCTTCGAACGGTGACTGTTATGCGCTTATGCCTAGGGCCATGATAATACCGGTATCTGGGGGCGATCAGGGTGTCGTAGCCATCGCGCCGGGACTCAGGGCACGTGGGTTGGCCTTGCTTTGCAGGATCTGATCTGCCCTGCTTCAGGTCCGCTGATCGCATAGTACTGCCGCAGTGAAGGGTGCAGCGTTTAGGCTACACTTGTGCAGCCATGAAGGGTGTAAGCAAGCAGGTTTAAGGTATCATCGTCTTGGAATGAAAACGTGCTAAAGAGTCCTTTGACCGTATAAGTGCCTTTGAGCGCAACACCGTTTTAAGGTGTTAAGTACAACCCGGCTCCGCATTGACTTCGTTGCAGTATATGGTACCTACAGACCGCCGTTGACACCTTTCATGCCGCAGGCCGCCACGTGCCTCCCATGATCCTGTCAGTGCAGCCACATCCCCTTAGCAAAGAGTCCCTACGGCATCTACATGGTTTCATGCTGGCAGTGACCGGTTGAAGGAGCATTTGCTTAGGTTCCATCGCCTCCGTCTTCCTGCATATGATGAGAGCGGTTGCCCCAGAGACTGCGATCAGACCGGATTCCTCGCACGTGCCTGAACACAGATTTAGACTGGATGGCTGCTTTCTTGTCTCTTCAGAAAATGTCTCAAAGTTCTTTACGAAAGCAACAGGAACGCAAGATAAGACCCAAAATATTCTGCTCCGAATTACAAGTCTGCAGACAAGCTAGTTGCAATGCGGTCTCACAGTCCTGGATTCTTGCAATGCGCGTGTCTCTTCAGACTCCTTTCAGCTGTAAACGCTGAGGACTGGAGCATGAAGTGCGAGCATGTTGCCGCCAAGCAATATGCTCCTGCAGTAGAAGAGTTAAAGGCGCGCTAGTTACCTGAAATGTGGGTTTTTAGGGTGAAGGTTCGAGAATCTTGAGAGGCTGGGATGTGAGCCGAAACTTGTCATGAACATTCCTGGGCAACCCAATGTATACACAGCTCTTGCATACTCAGTGAGAGAGAGGTCAGTAACATCATCGTCCTGCTTCTTTTGGAACGTTCTCAAAAAGCATGTGGGCGTGCCGAAGTGAACGCTGTATTTACTTTCAGACAGAGCCATTGTGTATCGGATAGCTGATCAGGAGTTTCTAGGGAGAAACAGGGAAGACCCAATCCGCCCCAATTTGGGCAACTAGCCAAAATAAACAGTGAGGAGAAGTCTGTACCGCAAGCACCTGTGAGCAAGTAGATTTCCGGAGAGCTTCACAGGGATTGAAGTGCACTTAGAGTTGACGTCGTTGTTGTTGTTGTTGTTGTTCGTAGGAGGCAGATTGAACAAGCTCACCATCTTGCAGAAAATTCGGGCACCAAGCTCCACCAGTGGCCCCCAAACCATCAGAGATCCGCAAAACCTTGAATGTACATTGAAGCAGTCAGGCTCCTGGCAACATCTAAGGAATTTCTTTAAAGAAATATTTTGGGCGTTGACATGGCCCTTGAAAAGCGGAGGCCCACCTGCCCAAGGGCGGTCGGGTCCTCCTACCAGGAGCAGGCCAGTTGATGCAGGGGGATTCATCGAAGCCAGTTATATGTGCTTGCAAAAAACTGTTTAAACTGCCATGTGTCCAAGTATGTGCAAGTTCTACCACAACACCTTTTGTGATGCCTATCTATATTGGTATCATTCTATGTGCATGGCGCAGCTGAAGATGAACATGGCGAGGGTCGTTTTGATTTCTAGTGATTGGTGTTATGCTCCATTCGAATAAGTGCACAGCTTGGGAGGCAGGTTTGCCCGGACTCGGTCAGTCCATGTCCTCCAACATGTTGATGCTGTCCTGAACCCCAACTCCCAAGCCCTTTGGCTTGCAGAGGCTTAGGTGTTCAGGGCTGGATGGTTCCAGGTAATGGCTAGTATGGGCGTATCATAAGGTCCTCCTGGTCACAACTGCTAGGCCTGGGACGCTTGGCGCTAATGATGGCTGCCGAGGGCTTCCAGGTTGAGGCCAATGCGGCTTGGCCGGAGATGGCGGTAACTCCGGGATTGCAAGCTTCTCTTACTCTCAGTGGAGCAGGAGACCCAAAGGACACTGAATTTGGTCATTCAGGCTGTTGCAGTGGTCAGGTTTTCTGGATAGCTCTGTACGGATCACTTGCAAGTGTGTATTGGCTTGAAAGCTTCGTCATCGAGGACGGTGCACCTTTGGTGCCAGTTGGGATTGAGGGGAAAGAACTTGCGGTTCCGAAGTTGGGCTGTCAAAGTGTGATGACAAGAAATCAAATCTGCATCTACACTTGCGTTTGGGCAGCGTGCTTGCTGCAGTTGCAGTGAAAGCAGCCTTCATCTTCAGCTTATTGGCGATTGCACGGACAGCCCCACCACCCAACTCACCACACAACAATGACGTGTAATGCCTGAGGATGCCTCACGCCTGTTCCTGACGTTCGCAGACTACATCCTGAACAGGGTGTCTCAGCTGGAAGAGCAGCTTCATGAAAAAGGAACCCTTTCTCGATTGCACTGTCATGATGTGATGGACCTTCTCACGGAAATCTTGAGGAAGTCCACCCTGCATAAGAAGGACTAGGGTTTTTAGGGTCCATCCGAGGCGCCCGAATCTGGGATGCAGTTGTTTCCGCTGGCGCATGTCTTCACGGAGAACCACGGCCCGCGGCTCACACTCTGATATGGTGAAAAGGCAACGTAATCCAAAAGTCCTTCGCAGTACCTCGAAGGCGTTTGATGATGCTTAGGGCATCTCTGTTTGCGAGGCGTGGTGGATCCGCATCTCATAGATGACTGCAGAAGCTGTTGATGCAGGCATTTGTATTCAGTGACAAGGTCATGCCCAGCAGTACCTTGATATCATCGTGCCAGGAGGCAGGCTATGTTCAGCGCAAGAACCAGTTCCAGCGAGAATCATCGATCGTTGTAGGATCCGCTGTCGAATGCAGAATCAAATCCTTTCTTTGGACTGAATTGTGGTTATTCATGAGCTCACCGCTCAAAGCTTCCCCAAGCACCAAGCCCAAACTGCGCAGGCGTTTCGCCAAAATCATTGGCGGATCTGGCACCAGCCGCGGAGGGGAGGCTGGGATCAGTTGCCTGAACCGCGTGGGCTGTGACGAACCAGGTTTTCGCTCAGAACATGTTGCAATTGTATGGATGCTGGGTAGGCAAATTGTTAATTCACTTACATCCAAGGTGTATCTTGTTTTTTTCTACGAATTTTCGTTTTGGATTGCATTAGTGTTTCGCCTTATTACTACGCAGCATTGGTGTGCAGGGACGATGTGTCCCTGGTGTTTTGACACAGGCCTCCGCTGACTCTTGTGCCGGGAGATTTCATCAAGACCTATGAGGCGCTGGTCCCCAATCGGCGCCAAAACTGTGGTGCAGATTTTGGTAGTTTGCCGGGATTACTG